AATTCTAGGTGTCGAATGGGGTTCCACCTCTGAAAATGCTGGAAAATGGACCTTAAAAAAAGGTCATTTGAGCTTCGAACTTTGACAGTTGCATTGATTCCATTTGTGAACTCTGAGATTTGCTCGCTAGGATTTCTAAACACAAAGGAATATAGGATATCATCATTTTTCTCCTAAATTGCATGCAGAATGAGAGCTTTGGAATGAGTTCTTTGCAAATGGTGGAAGAGTAAAGTTGAGTAGTTTTACCTGATGAGAATGCTTCATCATGACAAGTTCCATTAGAAAAGATTAAACCTTTTCTGCTTGAAAGAGAGTTTCTCTTCGTTCCCTTTTAGCTTCTTTCTTAATTTTCTTAATTCCCAAATATTTTTTAGTAAATTTATCTTTGGGTGATATTTTTAACAGTATGAGTGTGGATATATTGCATAATTATACAAATGTGAACCTCCGTTCCTCCTAGAGTATATTAATTTAAACCTTTACGTTTTAATTTATACATTAAAGTCTAATCTTTTTATTGGTTGATCTTACCAACCAATAAGTTTAGTGAATTTTGTATCTAATATGTTTATTTTTAATTTTAAATGTATATTGGGTGATTTATTTTTTTTATTTTTTTTATTTTGTGTGTGACAATGGAACCAACCCAATTTCGATGAAAGTCAATCTCAAGTATGATGCCCTCTACAAAAACATGCTCCAAACTCTATCAAAAAGGAATTGAATGTTATGTCATATCTTGAAACATAGGAGAAAACCATGAAAGAGAGAGGTAATGGAGTGTATTTAACCCAGTTTTTGTTCATATAACCATCTTACTAAATTTTAAGATAAATTTTAATATAGTTTTTAAAATAAGGTATTAATTGGTTTAGATTTAAGGGTTTTAAAGTCTTATTTTTAGATAAAAAAAAATATCAAAAAGTTATTTATTTTCTGATTATTTTTTAAAAGTTTTTTTAACTGCCCAAATCATTTTTTAATTTTTTTAATTTTTTTGAAAATTTTAAAGGTATTTTTTATTTTTTAATTATTTTTAATGGTTACCAAACATTCTTTTTTAATCATTTTTTTGTTAATACTTTGAAAACCGAATCAACAAAAAAAACATCACAAACCAATGAAGACCTCAAATTTTCATTAAAAAGAAAAAAAAAAAAAAAAATCCTTCACAGAGTTCACCGTCTCAAAATTGAATGTAATTGTAATTTAGAGTGTTTTGTGGGACCCGAGGTTGATGACCAATCAACTGTGACCGACGTGGATTCCGTCGACGCTGTAAAGGGCTAAGAAACTTCCTCTCTCTCCCATCCCTCACTGAACCAACACGCCTAAGCAAACACCGAATCCAATTCACCTCTCAATCAGATCTGCTCTTCTTCTTTAATCTCCATTTCTCCACACCGCTAGTTCTCCGATTTCCGATCATCAGTTCTCAGGTATATACTCTTTCATCACTTTTCTTGGATCCAATTCACCATCTGTTTCAATCCCGATTCTGGTCTAATTTCACGAATTGACTTCTTCTCAGACGAGATATGATTGATTATTTTCCTTCTGTTGTTCCAGAAGTTCGGAGGTCGGTTCGAATCGCTGATAATCCACCATGTCTATGTTCAATAAGCTTTTTGGTAAACCTAAACAGGAGTCTAATGCTCTGGCGACGCTTGATAAATTAAACGAGGTATCATGGCGGGTTCACTATCTTTCTTCCTATCCGCCTCACCCATTTGTTCATTAGGGATTGCTGTCTTTTCGTATTATCACTCTTTTAGGCTAAAAGGAATTCCTGTATGCTCTTTCCAGACACTGGAAATGCTCGAGAAGAAGGAGAACGTGCTTCTGAAAAAGGCTGCCACAGAGGTTGAGAAGGCCAAAGATTATACCAGAGCAAAGAACAAGCGGGGTATGACTTACAAGAAATGCTAGCAGTTTATTATCGAGTGAAACATTTTGAGATGAAGTACGCAAATTATTGAAGTATAATGATGCTAGTAAATTTGCTAACTTGTTGATAGTTAAGTTAAGAGTGGGAATTGAGAGGTGGAACACCTTAGGATTTAAAGTACTTTTTCTTCTCTTTTGTTAGGGGTGGGAATTGAGAGGGCTTTGGATGTTGTTTATCTATACTTGTTTTCTTTGGTGCATGTTCTGTTGTGTTGGACTTCTTTTGTTCAGTATCCACCCCTGTTGTCTTTTCCATCTTATGACCTTGTCCCATTGGAAATCTTTTGAAAGTTAGATAGATGGTTCAGAATTTCCAGATGCCCTTATATGTAGAAAGTACTCAAATATTTTGTTAATTTCCCAATTTCTAAAACTGTGCCTATCAAGGTGGGTGCTTCAAGCCCTCTGCCGGTAGATATTGTCTTCTTTGTGTTTTTTCTTTTGGGTTTCTTCAAGGTTTTTAAAACGCGTCTGCTAGGGAGAGGTTTCTATGCCCTTATAAAAATGCTTTGTTCTTCTCCCCAACTGATGTGGGATCTCGCAATCTACCCCCTTGGGGACACAGTGTCCTCGTTGGCACTCGTTCCCTTCTCGAATCAATGTGGGACCCCAATCCACCCCGCTTCAGGGCCCAACATCCTTGCTGACACACCACCTCGGGGCCCAGCCTCTTCGCTGGCACATCGCTCGGTGTCTGGCTCTGATACCATTTGTAATATCCCAAGCCCATCGCTAGCAGATAGTGTTCTCTTTGGCTTTCCCTTTCGAGCTTCCCCTCAAGGTTTTTAAAATGCGGTTACTAGGGAAAGATTTCCACACCCTTATAAACGATGTTTCATTCTCCTCCCCAGCCGATGTAGGATCTCACAATCAACCCCCCTTCGGGCCCAGCGTCCTTGCTGGCACACTGCCTCGTGTCTTCCTCCCTTTGGAGCTCAACCTTTTTGCTAACACATTGCCCGGTGTCTAACTTTGATACCATTTGTAACCTTCAAAGCCCACCGCTAACAGATATTGTCCTCTTTGGACTTTCCCATTCGGGCTTCCCCTCAAGGTAGTAAAATGCGTCTACTAGGGAGAGGTTTCCACACCCTTATGAAGGATGTTTCGTTCTCCTCCCCAACCGATGTGTGATCTCACAGTTAGGTTTTAAGCATCCACGTTACTGTAAATGGTCATGCCTTGTTTTGGCCTTCCATGCTTTTATTTCAATTTTCAACTTTTTTGATAGTTGTGTTTGTCACTTATCCAAGTTGGGGATGTGTTTAATTTCCAATGTGGATGCAAGATAATCAGTTGTTTGTACTTTATTGATTTTGGGGTATCTGCGTTTTCTTTTTCACATCTCCCATCACAAATGTGTTGAATCCTGTCAACTTCTTATGTTTCAAGTGTTAATGTCTTGGACTAGTTTATGATAGGATCCGTACGTTTCTACCTTCGATTTTGGATCTTCCCACATTCAATTTGTAGTTGAAACAGTAGCTGGCAATGTGGCATCAATGTTAACTATTTTATTATATAGCTGCTATACAATGTTTGAAGAGGAAGAGACTATATGAACAACAGATAGAGCAGCTCGGCAACTTCCAATTGCGGATTCACGATCAGGTTATCTTTGATGTTATATCTGACATGAAACTAGTTAGACATATCCCACGTTTCCTCGTGCTGCTTGTTTATGTAACTTCGTGTGACATAAATATTCGTGTCGCAGATGATATTATTAGAAGGAGCAAAAGCCACAACCGAGACGGTAGATGCATTGAGGACCGGTGCAGCTGCAATGAAAGCAATGCAGAAAGCAACGTGAGTACCACATTGTTTCAGTCTACTTTCATGATTTGAGTCTGTTCACATTTTTCAATTCTCTTTCCATTAGCTTCTATGAAAGTGCAGTGTAAGGCTTTTAGATGATCAGGCTGATGATGATGGAGATTTGAAATATTCTCGTTTTGCAGGAACATCGATGATGTGGATAAAACAATGGATGAGATCAATGAACAAACTGAGAACATGAAACAGATCCAAGAAGCACTATCAAATCCAATTGGTGCTGCAGCCGATTTTGATGAGGTTTTTGTTCACATTCAGTTTGTCTTCTCATTTGTTCCTGCAATTTTATGAAGCGCTCATCTACTAAACACATCTTTGTTGTTGTACGCACAGGATGAACTGGAAGCTGAACTTGAAGAGCTAGAAGGTGCTGAGTTGGAAGAGCAACTCCTTCAACCTGCAACAACTGCTCCTGTTGCTCCAATTCCTGTCCCTGCTGGCCGACAAACCGCTCGACCTGCTCCTCAGAAACGAACTGCTGAGGAAGATGAGCTGGCAGCTCTGCAAGCTGAGATGGCACTTTGATTTAGTCTCCGTTATGGTTTTGAAGCAAGGTTCTTGGGTTAATCTTGTGTTGAATTCTTTCCCTTTGTTAGCGTTGAAGGCCTTCTAGATTGTGCTGTATATTGATCTGATCATATGTACCCAAGTTTGCATCTGGGGCTCAAGCTGCCATGGCTAAGATGTTTGTATGGAATTTTGCAGGTGGCACTGCCTGATGGTATATCCAAAAGAGAGGCGATGTGAAGAATTGGGTCGAGGTTGTACCGAAGATTTGAACATTTTTTGCTAAGATCAGCAAAGCTTGATGAACAGGTTTCTTTGTGATAATACCAAATAATAATGCAGATTGAATTTAGGCCGTATATACTCTGTAAATGAATATAACATTATTGTGGTTAGTATTATGGGTAAGTGTCTCAATTTCACAGATGCCATGTGTAAGTTTAAGTTGCTTATTTGAAAATCTTTGGTGTTGAGTTTGAGTTTATTAATTCTTGAATTTTCTAACACAAAATTAAAATTTTAAAGCTTAATTAGATACAAAATTCATTTTTATATATAATGATCGATTTGAAGTTTGAAGTTTTTGAATACCTTTGAAAGTTCTAGGACTAAGTAGTCCAACTTTCAAATCTTATGAACTAAACTAAACCTATAATTAAATCAGTTTTTTCCTACGAATTTCACAGGAATTCTATAAACTCTGCTGCTGCATAAGAACACATTCCAATGCCTAAAAATGTTTATTGATCACATGCTTATAGCGCCTAAGAAGACATTACAGATTCATGAGCCATGAACGCAACATAACATCGCAAACGTCTCGGTGTTCTGGAAACGGACCTAGATTTAATCTAAGAATTGACATGTTTCTTATTTACCACGTATAACTAACGAACAGTGCTCTATATATATATGGGGTGAATTTCAGTCAAACTGTAGCCCATGATCTATGATACTGTTGCCTCGGAATCATTGAGACATAAAACATGCGGTTAAATCAGCTTGAAGCTTCTGCCCACTTTAATCGACAACTGAGCTCAGAGGAGCTGGTGACAACTCCAAATAATCAAAATCATCCGTGATGCCAACCTGCGTTTACACACACAGCCAATAACTCGAGAATTTTTAACTAGAGATATTGAGACCCATTTTCTTGGGACGTATAGGTTTGTTTCTTATCTTTCCAAAACTGTGAAAAGCAACGTTATGAAAAGTTGAAGATAAGGAATTTGACGTGCGTGCTATATTTGAGCATATCTTTAGTTCTTGCAGAAGGGCAATTTTACCAAAGAAGTGCGGTTTACCTCTTTATACAGGTTCTCTAGTTGTTCTTTCGCCTGTGGAAAGTTGTTTGAACACCATTGTCGCAAAGTGAAAATGTTGTCTGCGTGTTAATAAACAGAGTTTTGAAAGAAATTTCAAATGGGCACGAGAGAAGAAAGACAGAGAAAACTTGTTGGCAGCTTATGGTCAGAATGCATACCTGTCCATCGGTTGGCTGCAGCATGAGCATCTTCAATTGCATTTTCTGTCCCATAAGATGTTCATGTTTAGCACACAGCGATATCAAGAAAGAATTAAACAGCTGAAACCCATTTTCTATAGTAAAAATCTAAAAAATGGTAAAAGAAACTCAACTCATTGCTTCAAAGGCTGCTGGATCATTATCTGCATATTGTACCATCTCATCCTGGGAATGACTAGATTGTCAAAGAAGCGTGAAAACTAAAAGATCATCGTGATCGATTTTTCTATTCCAATAAAAAAGAGAAAGAAATCCAGAATACAAGCAAAACCTTTAGCTCTTTATGCTTCAGTTCAATGGCTTTTAATTGAGCTAGGGCTTCCTCTCGTTCTTCCTGGCATGAAGAAAGCATTCATGATAGAAGGGCAAATATTTTTCATCAATTACCTTTTGCTTAAAATATAATCACTCACAGATTCCTCTCTTCCCTTCTTTAATGCATTACTCTGCTCAGTAAGTTCTTCCAGTCTATTCTTACTGGTTTGGAGATCAGATTCAAGTTTACGATACACATTCCGCAGCTGGTACGAAGAGGGACATGAGATATTTTGGAGGTAGAAATTCAATCAAATATTCAGATGATTTAATATTTAGAGCGAGCTTGGACACATCATAAATATAAAGCCTTTGAAGTGAGTTAGACAAATCATGATACAAATGATATAGACTTCACCTGATTACCAGCACAGCTTGGTAAACTCCAAAAATAGACCTGAAATTTACAACCATACATAAATACATAGCAAATTGAAAAAACAGATTCATAATGCATGAGAGACAATCATGTCCGAAGGCTATGACCCATACGCAAAGAATAAGTCATGGTGCAAATAGGATAAACACAATAATGGACGACTGGAAGTTTCATCTCAAAAATTCTACTCACTGAAGTTCCAATCTTCTCTTTTGAAACCAGGTCATCGTCCACTAAACTTTGCACAACGTCTTTCACTGACTGAGAAATCACACCTTTCCTGGGACCCAATTTTTCAAGCTCCTTAAGCTGAAACGAGAAAAAGGAAGGAAGCTTCTTATTGTAAATAATGAAGTAAAAGGAATAGGAAATAAAACTGCAGGACTTCCAAAATTGAAGAATAGAAGTGCAAGTTTGCTCACAAGGAAAAAGTCTTGAGAATCGTAAAAGATCTGAAGCATCTTCTCGCGCTTCTCTTCCAGAGAAAGGCCTCTTTTCTTAGACTGTTTCTCAAATTAAATTTCAAGAAGTGCATAAACGTTAGACCACAAACCTGATATCTAGAATCGGTATTTTGTCAAAATCATAAAGGAAACTGAGTAAACCGTATTAAAACCAGGAAATCCCTAAATTTGAATTCTACTTCATAATGAAGGATTCCTTCAGCAAAATGCTTGTTAAACTAAATATCCTAAACTGAGAATCGTCAACGATCAAAATCGCTCCAACTCTAATCTTCCACATCAAGATAGAATGTAAAGAAAATTCAACCTATCAAAAACAAAAGAAAGGAACAACCAAACCCGAGGTCGCGCATTCTGAGCATAAATCAAGCGCGACGGAAGATTTTCATTTCATCGAATTTTAGATTACATCGAAAAAGCAAAACTATTCTACACGATCGGATGATGAAATAAGTATGGCTACGATTGTAACAAATGAACTTGATGAATTGACAGAAAAACAAAATTAGTAAATTAGGGTTTTATGAGAGAAAACCTTACCATGGATCCTCTAAGCTTAAGAGTGTGGGAGAAGGCTCCAGAGAAATGCGGGAAGGGCAAAGCCGTTCCGCAAGGCGGGAAAGTTTTTATTCCTTCGCTCCATCCGATTCTTAAAAATATTTTTGTTATATTACTAACTTATTTTTTATCGTTTAATTCTTATATTAAATTAAATTAAATTAAATTAAATTAAATTAAATTTAGTGTGTGAATAATACATTTTTAATATATTATGATTAAAAAAATTCAGAATTTTTAAAAATTAAATGAAAGGTTAAAGAAGTAAGTAATTTAATCTTTTTTAAAAAATTAATTAATCTTTTTAACTTCAATTTTTTTTTTAATAAATTTATTGATGACCGCTAACATAAATATGATAAATTTTAATATTTAAATTGTCATTTTTTATTGTATTTTTATTCTGAATCAAGGATTGTGATAAATTTTAATATTTAAATTGTCATTTTTTATTGTATTTTTATTCTGAATCAAGGATTGAAATATTATCTCGATTGATATGAGGCGAATAAATATTATTATACGAACAAAGTTGCTCAAAGTTGGTTCTGTAGGGGTAAGTAATGGATTCAAATCCTTTGAAATATAAATAAAATTTTAAATGTCACAACTCTTGAAAGAAGTATACAAGACCTTTAAACATCATTAATGTTATTGTGGAGAAAAAATAGGGAACTTTTTTGAAGCAGTTCAAAAGAGAAACGGAAAATGACTGTTTTGACCTTATTGAAAATTACATACTGCTCTCCAATCACCCTACAACATCCTTCCATATTTCTTCCTCACTATTTTGACTTTCGAGGTCGCAACCAAAAAGGGTCCCCGAAGCAGTGAAATGTGAGACATCAATTAGGGAGAAATGAGTGTTAGCGTCTCTCGAGTGCAACGTTGTCTTGCCTAATGCTGTTGGCATGTCCCCGAGTGGATTGTGAGATCCCTCGAGTGCCAACATCACTGGACCTTGAAAGAGAATGAATTGTGAAACGCCCACATCACCCGAACGAAATGAGGCTCACCTGTTGGCATGTATGCAACCATTATACTGAAGCTACAACTAATGTTTAACTGACTTCTTTATACACACAACAAAAAAGAGTAGCGACTTCAAAAGGCAAGCCAATTCCTTGCGACAATTCAAGAACTAAATTCTAAACTTACCTCCTTAGAACATACGTTGTGCACATGTTTAAACCAAACCCATTAAAATAACATCACTTCCCTTTTCCCTCCATCCCTCGAAGGGAACTTCAATTTTCAATTCCCCCAATCCCACGCAGCTTACTTGTTCATAATCCTATATCCCCAAAAGAACCAGAGCCAATCAAGATACCTTCAAATTCTGGGTTTACAGAAACTATGATTGGATAGAAGCGACCCAAATTCATCCACATAATTGCATTAAGAACATTAACTTACAATATAATCACAATGATCAGAGAGGCCATGATCCAACGGATCATCCAGTTACCATACCTATACATTAAGTCAAGACGGATTTCTGTTCTTCTCCATCAAAATATAGTTTCTAAATTCTTTCAACCCACCTCAAAATCTAAAAAACAGAGCAATATATACACATATTTAAGCCTTACATGCGTAAAAATTAAATCCTATAGTCCTCCAGTTTCAGCTGGGCTGCCTCCCATTCTGTATTTACATATGAACCAAAAGGCTTGGCTTAGGCTAATTTGTTCTTCAAATCAGAATTGAATTGTGATTAAGAGAATAACCCGATTGTACCAACCAAAAGTTTGATTTCCATACTCACTTCAGTAGCTCTGATACCCATCCAACGTCTGGTGTGCAAGCTGAAGAGCTTGAATCCACCAGGTCCAGAGAATTTTCCTTGCTCAGCTTCTCCAGCATCTTCGCCCTCAGCTCCCTTCCTGATTCCACTCGCTCCATAGCTGGTTCCTCCTGCAATCCGTGGTCCGAGAAGTCGAGCAGCCCAACTCCAGGAGCAGTTGGAGCCCGAGTTGGTGTTGTTGGAAGGCTACAGAATCCATGGCAGATTCGAGACGGATAACCAGGGGATCCAATCTGAACATTCCAGGAAGATGGCAGTGACTTGACCTTGCTCAGATGCAAGTTACGGAGAGATGCGACCATTTCATTAATGGAGCTCGAGCCAAGAGATCGGCCGAGCGATCGAGTCATGGGAGATAACGGTGGGGAGTCTACTGGAGTCGCCGACGGTGATACAGACACCGGAGAAGACAGAAACGGCAGCGATTTGGCACAGGATCCATCCAAACACTGCCGTACAGGAGATTCATCGTACGGCTCTGGGGAGTACGCGCTTCTCGGGCTCTGCTGAGGCAAAACCCTAAGTTGCTCAGGAGTGTGGGCGAAGAAACAGACCCTCCGTCGACAGTTCGTCTCGTCCTTGCACGGCTGAGTCCTGTAACGAGCAGGATGGAGCCAACACTCGAATACACCATGAGCAAACTCACACGAATCCCCTTTTTTACAGCTACCTTTACGAAAGTCGGGACAAGCCGTACCAGAGTAATGATACTTCCTCGGATCTCTCCGGCGAGCCTTCTCGCCTGGATGTGCGAACGGACACTCCGTCCAATCATGAGACCGTCCTCGCGTGCACTTCCTCACCTTAAACTCAAAAATCCGGAAATTATCGCACGAGTACGCATCCACCGGAACGTCCGATTCCCGCCCGGATAATTCCGAATCCGATTCAATCTCCGACTCGTTCGCATATCGCTGGAGAGCCGCTAGAGCTTCCTTCAGATAATAGGAAGAGTAATCGCCACCATTGCCATTTCCATCGGAACTCACCGAGATTCCGCTCAGAGGATAAGGAAACCGCGTCTCGCTTGCAGGCTCCTCCGGTATCGTCAAAGGAGTGATGTGAACCACCGGACCAGGGCGGTGGCGTTCGCCGATAATCATATCGTCAGCCGAAAAACACGATAGTGGGTTGCAGTTGCAGTATCAGACAACGCCCTCCCTTGTCTAATCCACCGCCATACCCATAGCGTTTATAAACTACTTGGAGACCAAGCCATCCACCAGAGTTAGGTTAAAGAAACCGTGGTTAAGTTAAACAACTCAACATGGTTCCATTCTTACGACTCCGTTAAAAAAAAAAATAACGGAGACGGGGATTCTCTGGTTGCCTCCAGTAGTTACCGCGGTTCTAGAGAGTTCCACGACGCAGATATTCGAAGATCACAGTAACCTCAAGCTCCACGTGGCAAAATCTTACGGTCGCTGTTGTTCATCGGACGCTCACCGCAGTCTTAATAAATTTGCATTTCATATAATTAATAACACCATTAATATCCCCACTTACATAACCATACAAAATTAAATACAGCTGACACCGGAACTTAATCTAATAATAATAATAAGAAAAAAAAAAGGTTTAAATATTTAATTATGGTAGATATTTATGTATGTATATACAGAATTAAAGAAAAAATAAATTAAAAAAAGAAAAAAAGAAAAAGAAGAAGAGAAGGGGGAAAGTGACAAAAGGTGGGAGAGAGTGAGCATAAAGAAAGGCAGGAGGAAGAGATGTCGGTAGTGATGGAGCAGGGACACTTGGCGGCCTCAAAGGAGGGGTGGGTGCCCTTTATTGCGGCACGTAACCCCTTTCTCCCATGCCTACGCCTGCCCTTCTCTCACTGCTTCCACTGCATTCTACACCCCACCCTCCTTATATCAATTTATTACTTTTTTTTTTTTAATTACAATTTTGCTTTTTTATTTCAATATTTATGTTTTATTAAAATTCTCATAATTAAACTACTAAATTTATAATTTAATTTTAAATTATTAGTTCATCCATTAAGTATTTTTAAATCTATTAAAAAAGTAAAAAATATTTGTTGTTTATGTACTGATCCATATTATCCAATTCTACCGAATTTTAATTATTAATATAATATATATTACGAATAATTCTAAATTTTTTAATAATAAAAAAATAATTCAATAATTTATTTTGAAAATAGGGTGTTGGGTTATAAAATTTATTGCGGTAACTCTGGTTACTAACTCAACCATTGTGATATGAACCAAATCACATCAATCATACAATATACTTCAATGAAGATGTAAAGAAAATATTGTTGAAATTATCTTATTCATGCCACGTTGGAGAAAAATGAAGTTTCATGTTATAAATTTTGAGTAAATTACAATTTAGAATTATTGGATTTTATTAATATATTTTAAGACTTTTTATTTAATTTAGGTTTACAATTGCCTAATGGTTAATTATAACCATTAGGTATGAATGTTACCACTCTTGCCATGCCTTTGATAGTTTCATTTTGAAGCTATCCATATATGTTGTATTTGTTGGTAGACTTGGAAAATGCAGTAAAAAAAGTGTGTTTTTTTTAGCCAATTGCTAAGTTTCTTTCCAATTCTATGTTGTAGAATCATTTAAATTCGACATGATCAATCTTGCTTGTGGAGTGATTCGAATCTCAAACAGGTGTTCTTGCGTTGAGATATTTGATAAACAAGAATCATTCAAATTAAACATGATCAATCTTGCTTGTGGAGTGATTCGAATCTTAAATAATGTTCCTTGAGATATTCAATGATTCAATCTCAAACAATGTTCCTTGAGATATTCGATCAACAAAGTAATCTGAATCTTACTCTCCTTGGAGTGATTTTCACCTATCACATTAGATTGGTTAAAAAAATACGACCCAATTGGTGGAAAATGAAAGAGACCATGGGTAGTGTCTTAAATTTACTACAAATACTAAACGACATAGATCTTGGAATGCATATTTTGACAGAAAACAAGACTAAACGACAATGAATAATTATGTCGCAACATTATTCTTTTTACCATACAGAAATTAAATTTATTTTTATTTGACCATATATATATATTTTTTTGGAAATAACAATAAAAAAAGAAGCAAATTATTATGACAAATAATTGCTGGATGGTTAAAAAAACTTGAAGCTGAAGCGAAAGCAACCCCCTTTGTTGATTCGTATGTGGCAAAACATGGCTGCTTCACCACAGGACAGCGGTGGTGGGCCCAACTGTAATCTAATAATTTTTTATCTCTATTACTCACCACAACATCCTC